AGCATTTCTTACAGAGGTGCTTTAGAGAAACTAGTCCTGCACAACAGCACTAGACTCAATTCACTATTCTTCACCATTTAAAAGCCCCAGATTGGATGTAAAACTGGTTCTCCTGATATGATTGTCAGTCAATTTGATTTATGAAGACAGACTCATTTACAGTACATATTCAGAAAATATTTGTCATTTTAACTCTTAAAATATTTGAATTCTGTATTACAATTTGCACTGAAGACTATCATTTGAATATTATCTTTAGTGTTTGTGATGTAATGTTAGGGTCCTGAAAAACTATAGTCTTTGGGAAAAACCTCAACTGACTCATCCCAATACTGTTCAATGTCTTAATGATCTGATGGAACATATAAAATGACCATCAATGGTGCAAAATTGATTAAGCAATAAATCATTATGGAGAATAAATCAGTTATTAAAGACCAACCTGAACTGTCTGATGGGACAGGGTCATTTGAACTACATGCATTTTAAAGCAAATACAACATATGTTATCAAAGAACAAAGAAAGTAGCTCACATAAGTATGAGGACTGCAATCTGGGAAACAATTACTTGAACGAAGAGTAAAAGCAACTGCAGAATGTAAAAGCAGGGGAATATCAGGAAAGACTGAGGAGGTGGCGTTATCGCTATCTATATTATTAGAAAGTCATTTACTGAATACTGTGCCTAGTCCTGATGCTCACCCTTAAAAAAGGACACTAAAAACAGGAACAGGAACTACAAGGATGAATCAAAGTCAGAAAATCGTGCCACACAATGAGAATTAAAAGCTCTATGTATTTCGTTTGTCCAAGAGAATACAAATGTACGACTTGATCACCTGGGATCCTGCTTTTCTCTGATAAAAAATCCCCAATTTTCGGGTTAAAAAAGTAACCCAAAATCCACACTTTTCTGTGATTAAAATGAAACTCCACTAAAACACAGATGTATATATATAGTGGTGTTTCAATTTGATCACGGAAAAATGTAGATTTTGGGTTACTTTTTTAACCTGAAAATTGAGGTTTGTTTTTTTTTTTTTATCAGAGAAAACCAGAATCCCTGTTGATCACTGTCTATAAATATCCACTAGGGAAGAGATATTAGAAAATATAGTGTTCTTTAATACAGCATGTAAGGCATGAGACTTAATGGCTAGAAGCAGGATAAATAATGCTTAGAAATAATGAAGTAATCATTACAATAATTTATTCACACAGTCTTCACCACTTCAAGTCTTAAGTCAAGACTGAGTATCTTTCTGAAAGA